GCTTGCAGAGAACCTCTGTCTTGGAGAAGTCAATGTCATGTGAGCCCACTGAATTGTAACAGTGATCTGCCACGGCTGAGGTGTTTGTCCTACCGTGTTTCAGGTCTGCCTTATGTTCACGGATGCGGTCCGAGACATGTCGTTTGGTTTCCCCAATGTAACTGCTACCACAGAGGCAACTTAGTTTGTAGACGCCAGGGTACTGTATGTCTGGAACCACATCTTTTACAGACGGGACCAGATCACGGATTTTATGTACTGTGTTGAATCGGACCTGGATCTTGTGTTTAATCAGGATTTTGGAGATCTTTTTTGTGACCCCAGCAATGTAGGGTAAGGTGATGGTCTTGAAAGGCTCCTCAACAGGATCCTTCTTGATGGTTGGAGTGATGGCTTTGCGGATTGTGTAGTCGGAGTAACCATTAGCCTTAAGAGCTTGGCGTACGTGTTTGAGTTCACTGGAAATGTGTTCATGGTCGGAGATACATTGGGCTCTATGATATAGAGTCTTGATGAGGGAATTCTTCTGGGATGGATGGTGGTGGGAATCCGGTTTTAGATAAGCATCCGTGTGGGTGGCTTTCCTGTAGACAGAGTGGCTCATTGAACCATCAGGTCTCCTTTTGATTAGGACATCCAAAAAGGGTAGCTTGCCATCATTTTCGACTTCCATGGTGAATCTGATGGCTGGGTGTATGGAATTGATGTGGTCGAGAAATTGGTCTAGAGCAGGCCGGCCATGTGGCCAGATGACAAAAGTGTCGTCTACGTACCTCTTCCATAAGGTCGGGCGTAGAGTGGCAGTCTGGATGGTGTCCGTCTCAAATTTCTCCATGAAGATGTTGGCTACAACCGGAGATAGGGGGGAGCCCATTGGGGTGCCCTCAATTTGCTTGTAGAAGGTTCCATTCCAGGTGAAGTATGTATTGGTTAAGCAGTGTCTCACCAGGGGGGGTACCCCAGCATTCAGTCCTTGATGAACCAAGTCTTCAATGATTGCGATGGTGTCAGGCACAGGCACCTTGGTGAACAAGGAAACCACATCAAAACTGACAAGCAGGTCGTCTGGGGACAGGGCAATCCCCTTGATTGTCGATACCAGGTCAGTAGAGTTTAGTACTGCAGAGGTGGTTTTTCCAGTGAAAGGCCGTAGGATTTCGGACAAAAAACGAGCCAGTTTGTAAGTGGGGGAGTTGATAGTAGAGACAATGGGACGAAGAGGTGTATCTTCTTTATGTATCTTTGGCAAGCCGTACAATCTTGGTGGCCTGGCTGCAGAAGGTTTCAACGAGAACTGTTTGGTCTGATCAATTAATGCGGTTGAAGCAGAAATTATGTTGTTGGTTTTGGAGACGAGGCTGTTGGTGGGGTCTCTTTTTATTTCTGTATAGCTGCCATCGTTGAGTAGTTCTTGAATTTTGTTGTTGTATTCTATTTTGTCCATGATGACAGTGGCATTGCCTTTGTCGGCTGAGAGGATGACAATGTCATCCCTCTTTTTTAATTGAGCTAATTCAAAACGCTCATCTTTGCTGATGTTGCTAGCTGGCATCTTAGCGTTTTTGAGGGTCACAGAGATTTCAGATCTTGCTACGTCTGCAGCGATGTAACTCAAGCCCTTGAGAGCTACATCTACTCGAGCAATTATATCATTAACTGGTATGTGTCTAGGTGTGACTGCAAAGTTTAGTCCTTTAGCTAAAACGGATTTCAAACCTTCAGAAATAGGACTGTTACTGCGATTAATTACGACTTTGTTAACATCTAGCTTTTCAATGTGTGGGTCCGGTTTCTTGTTTGAGAGGCGGTTGAATTTGGAAATCAAGTTGTCCTTACATTTAGTCGACATAGCGGCAGCTGAAGAGGCAGTCATTTTTTCCACATGTTCCCAATCCGATGTGGACATTGTTACACTCAAAGATAAGTGTGATTTGTAGAGTGTCTTGTCTAACTGATCTAGTTCGGTGCGCGTAAGTCTGATTTTCTCTGAGATAAGAGCTAAACTAGTTCTAGACAGAATTCGTTTCGCATTAGAAGAAGTTACAGCAGCAGATGTTAGTGTAAATGCGTTTGGTATTACCTTAGAGTCGCGGCATCTCTTCAGAAAGGTGAGAGACTCGATTAGCTGAGCCTTCTTATCCCGGAGCTTGTTGAAGGATCTCAACATAAGGCAGACCTGAAACACGGTAGGACAAACACCTCAGCCGTGGCAGATCACTGTTACAATTCAGTGGGCTCACATGACATTGACTTCTCCAAGACAGAGGTTCTCTGCAAGCCATCTGGCTATCATGAGAGATTCGTTCATGAGGCGATCCACATATACAAACACAGAGACAATTTCAACCGAGAAGATGGATTCTGGCTTAGCAATCATTGGAAGGACGTAATAAACCATTTCGGATCTTAACTGATTGTGTTCACGTTTACGGTGACTTTCAGACCGCGTTCCACTCACTGGCATGGTGCAGTGTGCAGAGTAATGTATGGTGTCGTAATTGTACAGTAAACATATAGCAGTATGATACACATTAGGGTGGGTAGAATAATACATAGTGTTATATTAAAATGGATAAGGCAGCAACTGCAGCAGCAGCAAGTGCAGCAGCAGCAGCAATTGCAGCAGCAGCAACTGTAGCAGCAGCAGCAACTGCAGCAGCAGCAGAAACTGCAGCAGCAGCAACTGCTGCAGCAGCAGTAACTGCAGCTCCCTTTGATGCTGGTAATCCTGCATAATGCACATGCATATGCAGTACTAATCACATTCCTGCATTTCCCATAAATATGCTAAATTCCTTTTGATATGCAAATTCCTTTGTCAATGCGCCCAGCTTATATATATGCTCCAAGCTCGTGTGCTGTTTCATTCAGACTCTGTCGCCTCGACGGACCTGGTTTTCACCTGAGGACGGCTACTTGCGTTGTGGCCGAAACGTCGTGAGAATTGTTTTATTATGTTTTATTTTTATTATTTTATTACTTCCCTTCTACGTGACTTTACCGAAAGAACCAAGAAGATGAATCCCTGCAGTCACGAAAGCTTTAAATCGAAAAGAAATGATCAGTCTATAGTTTTAATGGTAGGTTTATTTGAACAATGAGAGACAGAATAACAACAACAAAATCCAGAAAACGCATGACCCCCTCTCAATCAGAAAGATTTCTGGCTCCCAGGTGTTTTTTATACAGGTAACAAGCTGAGATAAGGAGCACACTCTGAAAGGGAGTGCTCCTAATCTCAGCTTGTTACCTGTATAAAAGACACCTGTTCACAGAAGCAATCAATCAGATTCCAAACTCTCCACCATGGCCAAGACCAAAGAGCTCTCCAAGGATGTCAGGGACAAGATTGTAGACCTACACAAGGCTGGAATGGGCTACAAGACCATCGCCAAGCAGCTTGGTGAGAAGGTGACAACAGTTGGTGCGATTATTTGCAAATGGAAGAAACACAAAATAACTGTCAATCTCCCTCGGCCTGGGGCTCCATGCAAGATCTCACCTCGTGGAGTTGCAATGATCATGAGAACGGTGAGGAATCAGCCCAGAACTACACGGGAGGATCTTGTCAATGATCTCAAGGCAGCTGGGACCACAATCACCAATAAAACAGTTGGTAACACACTATGCCGTGAAGGACTTAAATCCTGCAGCACCCGCAAGGTCCCCCTGCTCAAGAAAGCACATATACATGCCCGTCTGAAGTTTGCCAATGAACATCTGAATGATTCAGAGGACAACTGCGTGAAAGTGTTGTGGTCAGATGAGACCAAAATGGAGCTCTTTGGCATCAACTCGCCGTGTTTGGAGGAGGAGGAATGCTGCCTATGACCCCAAGAACACCATCCCCACGGTCAAATATGGAGGTGGAAACATTATGCTTTGGGGGTGTTTTTCTGCTAAGGGGACAGGACAACTTCACCGCATCAAAGGGATGATGGACGGGGCCATGTACCGTCAAATCTTGGGTGAGAACCTCCTTCCCTCAGCCAGGGCATTGAAAATGGGTCGTGGATGGGTATTCCAGCATGACAATGACCCAAAACACACAACCAAGGCAACAAAGGAGTGGCTCAAGAAGAAGCATATTAAGGTCCTGGAGTGGCCTAGCCAGTCTCCAGACCTTAATCCCATAGAAAATCTGTGGAGGGAGCTGAAGGTTCGAGTTGCCAAACGTCAGCCTCGAAACCTTAATGACTTGGAGAAGATCTGCAAAGAGGAGTGGGACAAAATCCCTCCTGAAATGTGTGCAAACCTGGTGGCCAACTACAAGAAACGTCTGACCTCTGTGATTGCCAACAAGGGTTTTGCCACCAAGTACTAAGTCATGTTTTGAGAGGGGTCAAATACTTATTTCCCTCATTAAAATGCAAATCAATTTATAACATTTTTGACATGCGTTTTTCTGGATTTTGTTGTTATTCTGTCTATTACTGTTTAAATAAACCTACCATTAAAATTATAGACTGATCATTTCTTCGTCAGTGGGCAAACGTACAAAATCAGCAGGGGACCAAATACTTTTTCCCTCACTGTATGCAGCTGAAGTTAGATCTATTCATCCGAGCATTCAAGCAAATCTGAGCCTGGCTTCCACCTCGAAGTTTTGATTGAACATTAATTTATGCATTTCTGCATAATACAAATAGTATTATTTTCAAGACACTTTGTTATTATAGCTGAATTTTTCTTAAATATTCCTTTCATAGCTAGACAGCCGAAATTGTGTGCTTGGAGTTTTGGATAAAGATTCATTTTGAAGATACTAGAGCATCCAGGCATATTTATGACCATTTGCCCTCTCATTGTGTGTCTTAACAACCCGCGTGATGAATTGGGGAATTATTTTCACTATATCATTAATATATGAATAAGTATAGATGTGTAAGTCATGTGTGACTGTGTATATATACATTCCTCTGTGCCTTGATACTGACGTAGATGGTTTGGATATGTTTTTCTGTCTGCAGCTGACGCTTTCTCTGACTCTTCCTCTGCAGAATTGGTCTGATGGAGCAAAGGGACTCGGCGCAGCTCGGTACAAGAAGGAAACAATGCGACCAGTATGCAGACAGCACGGATCGTACTGGAAGTTTGACACAACACCAGAGAACTCACACAGGAGAGAACCCCTTCAAGTGCAGTGTGTGTGAGAAGGCATTTGCAACGTTATCAAATGTTAAGCGCCACCAGAGAACACACACAGGAGATAAACCCTTCAAGTGCACTGTGTGTGAGAAGGCATTTGCAACGTTATCAAATCTTCAGAGCCACCAGAGAACGCACACGGGAGCTAAACCCTTCAAGTGCACTCTGTGTGAGAAGACATTTGCACGGTCATCACATCTTCACGACCACGAAAGAACACACACAGGACAGAAACCCTTCAGGTGCACTATGTGTGAGAAGGCATTTGCACAGTCATCACATCTTCAGAGCCACCAGAGAACACACACAGGAGAGAAACCCTTCAAGTGCACTGTGTTTGGGAAGGCATTTGCACAGTCATCACATCTTCAGAGCCACCAGAGAACACACACAGAGAAACCCTTCAATTGCACTCTGTGCAGGAAGGCGTTTGCACTGTCATCACATCTTCAAAGACACCAGAGAAGACACAGGCATCAGAAGATCCCCAAGGAGCGGGGTCTGAAATCGGCTTGTGTCAGTCCAAGTGCTGCAATGAGCCCATCCCTGCTGAAAAAAGAACCAGAATTTAATTCCAGCTTGGACGCAATTAAATGTATCAAGGTAGATTTTGAAGAGGTGAAATGTGAAGAAGTGATGGTGAAGAGCGAAGAAGCGATGGTAAAATGTGAAGATGAAGATTCAACTCCAAAATCGGACCTTTACATCGATGGAGGCAACGTGAAGCAGGAGGAGAATTCTGACTGTGAGGCAGAGCGAGGCAACTCCCAGGAGTTTGTGGAAGTGGAGGTGTGGGTGGACTTCTTAGACAATACAAAGTCAAATGGAGACCCGGTAGATGTGTAAGCTTGAGACAATGAAGCTCCAATATATGCACCTTTGTCACAGGCCTTTAATTAAAATAACGTGAAGTTGCACACTAAATTCCTAGGTTCAACCTGCAGAGTAAGAGCAGCCAGTATTTGCAAACCTGTGGGTTGGGTAGATCTCTAACCAGGAGCCAATAATCTCCGAAGCATTCTCTGTTATACTATGTTATAATAATTTTAGCATTTACATGGTGCTTGCTTAATCGCCTCAGCAACTCAGTTTTGTATCATCTCATCACAAACACTCGAAGAGCATGTTGTATATATGCCTTTTCCATAAAATTATTATGAGTGATTTTTTTCTATTTTTGTAATAATTTTGATCGGGATGTAGCGCTGTGGCATGGAAAGGGTGAGTCTCCCCCCCTGCCTCCTGCCTTGCCACGCAAAAGACAGCTGTAGGATAATTACTCACAAGCCTGTTTGGGAAGTCATAAAATGTAATAAAAAATGGCAAACCCAAGGGGAGGGGGGCTAATGAGATTCTGCGGGAAGTCCCTAGTTGACTTCAAGAGAAGGCCGCCATAAAGGAAAAACCCCACAATAAAACAAAAGACGAAAACAGCAGTGGTCATGAACCTCCCTTGGACAGCGAAATTCACCCAAGGGCAGTTAATCATTACGAGTTAACTGGGGTTTTTAAAAATACAACAGTAAGGTTTTAAGCTTAGCTATATCTTCAACCTCAGGATATCAAAATATAACTTGAGAATAAGAAGCACGGATCCCTGGCAATACAGACTGGGAACAAATGTTAATTAAACCCTCGTAATATCCTTGGTAACAACTATGGTATACCACAAATCTTGGTTAAGCATAAACCAAGTAATTATGAAAGTATTAGACCTAGGGTCATTCGGAAGAGATAATGCGAAATATGTCAATCAAACGACCAAGATAATATGTATTCCACGGGATCAGAGCCTCGCCCAACCGCCTTTGTCTTCCAGTAGCTAACACAGTACATGGTCAGTTTAACACGTAGGCTTTCGCGACCAATATTAGTCAAATGTGTCGTAACCCTCCACCATCCGACACTGACAAACAGTAAACAAAATATGTCGCATTTTTTACCAAGACAAATAGTTCACTACTTTAGCCCACCACCGGTGTGTTGAGTGATTCAACATCATTTAAAATTTTTAGTACAACATTTCGCTGGTAATTACATCCAGCATCATCGGGCAATTTGCCAGAATGGTGAGGCCCTCCACTCGCTCCCGGTCTTAAATGGAGCAACAGGGTGATGTCATCTTTTAGCTCAATCTGGTGCAGTGATTCGAGACAGGGAGGGTATTGTAATTATATAATTGACTAGCTTTACTACCTGGCTTCGCCCGGGACTTGGATTCACTACGCCTGGCCGCCTTTGTCTCCCCAGTGGCGATGTTCACACACCATACCAGTTACTCGTTTGAGGCTGAGTCGACCTAGGGGAGGCCCAGGACCGGTTCAAATTATCGTCACCGGTAGTGGCCGTGAGCGGGAATCAAACTCTGATCGCCAGGTTCGTAGCGCAGCCCGCTAACCACTACACTACAATGCGTTACGCTTCCACATGCGCGGGTCACATGACAGATTTGATGTCACAGCTCACCGTGCAAAAAATATATGCTCCCCCCAAAAAAAAGTGTGTACAGTCTGGAAAGTACCCACATGGCAAGTTTGTTGCATATCGGGAAGTACGCTAAACATTTTGAACAGACACACATAATCACAACTTTGGCTTTTATGTGTAATGGGTTCCGGAGACACTTGTAGACGTAACTTCTTTATTACGATACCACACTCCAACAGTCCTCTGTTACAACCTAGGGACACAGCCTAGGGACACAGCCTACTCTGGCTACGCTCTCGGGTCCTCCGGCTACAATTACCCTAGGGGAGGCTACCTGACCCGACCCAGCCAAGGTGCGGGTCTCGACTCTGGCTTCCTTGGAACTCGCCCTTACAAGGACGTAGAGCCGGAAGTCCCAGAGTCCCACCACTGCCCGCACAGCGTGCCGGCCCTTACAAGGACAAGCGGGGCGAGGGGGTCCAGGGTCCTATACTGGCTGGTCTTGGGTCTTGAGCTGTGACTGGTCCCGATCGACTGGGGAGGTCCCCTTTAATGTCCCTTTGCCCATCAAGGGGTGGCGTTACGTGGGATCGTAGATCCCCCGCAGCCCCCCCCCCCCTTTTGGCGGTACGGGGCACCCTTGCAGATGGACCTCGTCTACCACTGCCGGTAAGTTTGGCCCATTTACGGCACTACATACGTATAAGGAGATTGGTAATCATTCAATTGTTGTTAATTGCTATTTGTTTCCCCTATAAGGAATGGGAATTGTAATATATACTTTTTAAAATAATATGCTTCCAGGCCGCACTAAGCCTGTAGCTGTTAGAGCGATTAAAGTTACTTGTATTTCACTCAATTTCAATGGATTATCTAAATAGTCTTGGCCAGTAATAATTAGTTTTACACAACACTTCAACGTTATCAAAATCAATTGAGTGTCTTTGACAAGTATGCTCTGCCACTGCCGACAGTTGTGTTTGAGATTATTTAATAAGACTAAAAGAACACCAAAGAAAGTACTGTCTGTGAAAAGGCATTTGCACGGTCATCAGTTCTTCTGATCCACCAGAGAACACACGGGAGAAACCCTTCATGTGCAGTGTGTGTGGGGAAGGCATTTTCAAGTTCACCTGCTCTTAAAAATCACCAGAGAACACAGGCATCAGAAGATCCCCAAGGATCAGAGTCTCAAATCGGCTTGTGAAAGTCAAAAGTCTTGCAAGGCGTTCATCCTTAATGATAAGAACTACAAGAAAATCCCAGCTTGGACACTTTAAAATGTATCAAGGTGAAATTTGAAGAGGCGTAGGTGAAATGTGAAGATGCGGCAGTGAAGAGCGAAGAAGTGATGGTAAAATGTGAAGATGAAGATTCAACTCCAAAATCGGACCTTCACACCGATGGAGGCAACGTGTAGCAGCAGAAGAATTCTGACTGAGGCAGAGCGAGGCAACTCCCAGCAGTTTGTGGAAGTGTGGCTCGATTTCTTAGAAAATACAAAGTCAAATGGAGACCCGGTAGATGTGTAGTCTTGAGACAATGAAGCTCCAATAGATTTGTCACAGGTCTTTTATGAAATGATGACAAGTTGCACTCAATTCCTAGGTTCAACCTGCAGAGTAAGAGCAGCCAGTATTTGCGGACCTCTGGGTTGGGTAGATCTCTAAACAGGAGTAAGAGCCAATAAGCTCCCAAGCATTCACTATATTATGATAATATTTGCATTAATGTGGAGCTTAATTGCCCATAATTAGATCACATTAATTTAAATGTTTAGTGAAACCCGCCACTACGCGATTTGTTCTCCAACACACCGGTGTGCTGTACTAGTGTAGTGTAATAACGCCGACTGTTGTCCAGCAATGGCAACTGCGGTCGACAAATAGTACACACGCCAGTGAGCATATACACCGGTGTGTCGGCAGGGAAGAAGAACTGGGGCAAGGGTCATGGAAGACTCCATCTGGAAGCTCCTGGAACCTGCTAGTGGGTTCGAGAAGGGAGGCACGGCCAGGGCGGAGCCAGGCCACACTGGGTAGCATAAAAGCAGCTGAGAGTGGGAGCTCAGAGTTCATCTCCTCGTGGCTGTCATCTTTGCCGCCTTCGTCAATGCCGTCTTCGCTAGATATTGCACGGCCAGATAGTTGTTGGCTGTCTCGGTCAGCGCCATTGGTGTTACATGGTCAGGGATATGTTTATGCTAGGTTTGACGACGAGGGAGCGCGATGGCAAACCTGTGAAGGTATTAATAAAGGTGCCCCCTTAGAAACCTTGTCTCCCGCGCCACCGTAGCACTCCAACCTGCCGGCAACATCTTCCCAAGCTCCATGTTGCTTTCCGTGACTGCCGTGTGCAAAGTGTCAGGGGCTGGATCTGATTTGATGCTACTGCGGATTTCAGGGACGGGCCGTGCCCTTAGGCCATTGTTTTTTTGTTCCCATTCCTCGGAATCCCAAGGAATGCAAAACCCTGCCAAGGCGGGGGTGACCAGTGTCGAGGACCGGCTCACGTGAGCTATGTTCTGGTAAAGGCCGACTCTCCCTTGTAAGGTGAGATTCGGGGGGGTTGTGTATATTGTTTGGCTTGTGTTATCGGCTCTCGTGGGGGGGGGGGGGGGGGGGGCGGCGTCACGGTTATGCGGTCCCTGATGGGGTTCTTGCCCATGCCGCAGTTGCGCTTCGTGTTGGCGGTTTGTGGGGAGGTTGCCGCGGGTTGTGCTTTTTGTTGCCGGTCCGCGGGGGCGCCGGAGTGGCACTACGTGGTTATGGTTCGCAGGAGACGCTGCGGTTGTGCTGTATGGTCGCGGGAAGTGTTGCAACCAAGGTTTTCTTTTTTGGGGTAAATTGTTTTTTCGTGTTGGTGGTGTTCCTCGGGGTTGGGGTTGCTCTGCCTGTCCACCGGTTGCAGTTGCAACGGCAACTGCGGTGGACAAACAGTGCACACGACGGTGAGCACATACACGAGTGTGTCGGCAGGGCGGAGGAACTGGGGCAAGAGTCATGGAAGACCCTATGTGGAAGCCCCTGGAACCTGCTAGAGGGTT